CAGGTTGAGTCTAAAAGATGGGATACCACGTTAAGCATCCATCTTTTGTGCTTACATAAATAGATTTTAAACGGGTTGGGAACTTCTCACTACGTCACTGCTCACAAGCTCACAGTTTCAATACAGCTTCTTCTGAAAGAAGCATTTCAAAGTTAAAATTGATTAAGACCCACTTCAGAAGTACAAATAGCAAAGAGAAACTACCTGCATTGGCAATTCTATCATTTGAAGCGGAAATCATTTATTTACTTTTATAACTTCTGATGTCGCCGTCGTCCAGAGTTGGTCTAGCTCCGCCACTGCCATTGCGAACAATTAGCACCACCATTTCTGACTTAGCGACCAATAAAGTTTCCATTGCGGAACTACATGATAACCACTCAGAAAAAGTACTCCAATAAAACTTTTGATTTCAACCGATCGAATTTCGACCTACGAAGAATGAATCTTTACCACTAAATTCAACTGTGTCTATGAAAATAGTTATACATTCCTAATGTTCTTCTCAACGTTATTAGCTTCAACATTCACCGGCTGATTATTATATGAGAAAGGACGGTTCTGCCAAACTGCGGGACCGTAATCATAGGGTGGATGTAACTGTTGTTTGTCTGACAAATTGTCTAGCTCAACTGCGGCAACCGCATATTCTAATTTTATTGTGCTAGCAATATCCGCTAAAAGCGGAGCATTGTCCTCAAAAACATCATCATTAATTGTCTCATTGGAACTTGCTTTATCAACGTCTGGAGGCACGCACGTATATTACATTTCCTTTTTCCGATTTTCGAACAGCAGAAGCAGTTTCTCAATCGTTACATTTTTTCATATTTTCTCGTACAGAAGTATTAAAAAATTGCACACTGAATACTTTCAGTTCCGCCTTTCCAAATATCAATAAAGATGTACATAGATAAAAGCAGATATATATAACAATTTTATGGTATATATGTGAAAAGTATATAAGAACTGGCCAAGCACTTGTTTCTGATCAATTGCTTGTTTGCTCTGTACATATTGGTATTATAATTACATCAGTCTCCAAAACACGCGGAGTCGGGAGTCACTAAGACCTAAATCTGGTTGTGATATTATTAAATATATATTTAGATACATTTTTGTCGCAAAAATGTCTCAAATAAACGGAAAGCTTACATTTTCCTCATAAAATATGAAAACACTTTATGTTATGTTATGCTATTTTATCGTCTTAAACGTGATAATTTTTTTTTCTAAAATTGTTAAACCATATTAATTTCGTAGGAAATATCTTCCATGTTCTATTATAAAATGCATAAATAAGTTAATATAAAATATATGTTACTTCTACAACTTTAATATTTTAAAGCAAAAATGTAAAATTTAGTAAAATATTCTCTTTAGATCTGATATTTCTGATATCGTCCGTTTAAACATGGAAAATCATTGCTTCTAATTTGTAGGTTTAAAGCTTGTTTATCACTTGTAGCCCAACAGTTACAAACGTACTTATAAATGCAATGAATATTACCAAGGATCACTGATCACCTAGTTCACTAGGTATTAAGTCTATCTACTTTCTCTCTCCCCTGATTACTGGAATAAAGTGCCCACATTGCTGTGGGAATCTTCTCCTTTCATTCCTAACAGGTGGTTTTAATGGGTTCAAGTCTCACACTGTGGCTTTCGATGCTTTCCACCTACTGCAAAAAAAAAAAAAAAAGGATCACTGATATTCTCCGGTCATCATTTTTGGTTATATGGTCTGTTAAAAGTTTAATTAATTAAAAAAAAATTTTGTTGCTGTAATTAACAACTATTAGTAGATTAATTTTATTACGTATAATTATTTTAGTTTTAAATAATATATACAATTAAGTCACATTTTTTAAGCTGACTACTAAAATAAACAAGGAAATTATTTCCGAATTGGAGTTGACTTAAAAAATAAGTCAATGTTTTCATTGAATTAATAAATGCGTTAAAATTTCTTATCTCATGTAGAAATTTTAATGATGTCGTATTCTTAATCTGATTATTTAAAATTCAAACTAATTTTGTAAGTAATTATTTTATAGTAAATCAATTTAGAACATAAAAATATCTGAGGTAAGACGCATCATAATATAAGGAAATCTACTTTGATCTGAGTCAAGTTGAAGTTGTAGACATAGAAACAAGTTCATTTAACCGCTTAGTTTGAATTGCAGTATTCAAAGTCTATAACTTAATGATAGGGTTATTGGGAATCAATAAGAAGTTATATAAATAACATAAATTCCTAAAATAAATTGTTATCTTTCTTTCTAGAAAAGAGATTAATGCTATGAAATCAGCTTATAAATTCATGCTAATATCATTATGATATTTATTAGGTAAGCCAAAGTTAGCCAGAAGATTGAAATAAAATAGTATCTAATATAAAAAACAAGTATTTCACTAGATTAACCTATTCAGGGACAAATGCAAAGAGATGGTTGTGAGCATTGCAGTTACATCGTCGCTCAATTACATAATCAGCTATGATATTCAATAGATCAAGCTGGTCGCAGTACAGAAAGGCCTCAGCGTAACCTATAAGCCATTACAACCAACATAATATCCAACCATTTGTCAAGGCATTGTTATTAGTGCCTTCGAATACCTCAATGTATATACCTAAACCTTTCGTATTGATGATGATATATTCATAAAACGCTAAGGTTGTGGTCGGTTTGGAAAAAACCACATCTGCAGCAAAAACAATTCCGATAGCTAGTGATTGAGGTGAACGATGTTCTGCTAATAATAGTCAAAAAAGAGGTTTAAAGTAAAGCTTCATAAGTTCCAAAAAACACAAAACTCTGGATGAGTAAAGTTTTATAATTGAGCAATGTTTATAAGCGTCATATCGATTTGCTAGGCATACCTATTTGGCAACAAATTATAGAAAAGTCAGCTATTGAGAAACTTTCTCTACTACGCTATATACTGATAAAGCGTATTTCCATTGAGTGGAAATCCATTATAAAATAGCATTACAATTAAAATTAAGAAAATAAAATAAGAATTAAGAAATAAAGAGGGTGCTAGTTCCAAACGGAGTGGATCATCGCGATCATAGTTGATCTTTCGTGCTGCAACAGACCCTAACCAAACAAAAGACATTCCGTCTTTCGAATGAAAGCCATTAGGTCAGTCATTGAGGACTTCCTAATGTCAGAAGGGGAGAGTAGTTCTCCACACAGTGACCTTTTCCTGGCTCTGATCAAGGCTGGATAGTCACAGAGAACGTGACTGGAAGCTCGTCTGCTTCTAGGCAGAGTCGATAAGCTATCTTTTTGAACAAACCCATAAAAAAGTGTAGTAGAACATAAAACATTGATTATAAATATAATTGGTTATAATAAGTAGATTCCTTATACAGTTATTGGTGGTCCTCATATAAAAATGTTCGATTTTAAAGTCTAATGTTTTAAAAACTTAGCATTATTTATATATAGCGAGCTGGAAAAGTTTGTTCCGCAGGTATTCTAAAGCACTGACTTCACTAAAAATTTTTCTTTTCACATAGGCGTATCCGGAATTTCAGAGACATGCCACAAAATAAGGAGCAGAGTGGTCCGATGAAAATTTGAATGGAAACAAAAGAGCTAAGTAAGATTATGGCAGCTTCAGATATAATGTCGTTATGATCATCCTTCGTTGTGGTTTTAAGACCGTAACATGCTGCCAAGTTTATTGCAAATGTTTTCGGAAAAAGTTTCGAAAGTTGTTATAAATCCATTGGACAGTCAATTATTTCAATGACAAAGAGAGACAGAGTGAGTGTTTCATTAAAATGTTGCTCTGCCTCACAAAAAAAAAGGTCAATCTACAGTACCTGAGAGACAAACGTTCTGTAATTTAGTTGGACCGAAATTTGGTGTCCAAAGTTCACAAGCTCGAAACCCGCTCTATGTCGCACTACAAGGTAGTGGTAGCATTAAAAGTTTACATTCGTATACTTAACTCTTTTGTCGATCAATTCAGAGCTATATTACAAGTTATAGACATGAATATGAATCCGAATTGTTTTGTTTGTGGTTCAATAAACTTGAATTGCATTATAAAATGCTTCGTTACTACGATTTTCGTGACCTCTGAATTTAAAGAAAGTTTTTGGTAAGTTTCGCTAATCTAAGCAAAATTTTCCACCGCACTATACGCCGATATACTATATCAAGTCTGAAGTAATCAATTTTTTCATTGCTACATTGCTACATCGTAAGGCAACAAGTATTTTCAATTTTTTATAAGACATTCACTAACAACTCAATGCCTACAGTAGTCGTTAAAGCGGTTTCTTATGTAAAGATTTGTAATCACGATGCCAGATATTTTGAGAACTAAGCTATATAAACATATAAATCAGTAAAAAAATTATTCTCTGAACAGTCTGTATCACTAAAATTCATTGTAAAATATTCCCTTTAGAGACTCCAGTCATATTAAAAACAACATTTTAAAAAATGGAGTTGCTTAGGGCAACCCTAGAAAAAAATTCATTATTAATAACTGATTCGCATGTGCTACTGGGTAAGCATATGATGAAGTATGAATGGGTACATTGGTTCAATAATACACAATTTCAGGTAAAAAAAGAAACACCGTACGAAAAAATTGCAGTACATGGGTAAGCATAAAATTGCTTTAAAGCATATGATAAGCATGTGTATGTATATGTGTGTTAATTTCAAACAGAATGTTATTGAATATAACGGTTCAATTCAGTCACCCTGTAAATAAACAGTACCACATTTTAAATTTATAAATTGCTTATTTGGGTTTACTGCTGGGTAACTACATAGTGAAGTGTGCGCGGGTATATTTATTCATACTATATATATGTATGTATATTTAAAAGACGGTAGTCATCTCCAGCAAATATACAAGATTTGAAAATACACCAAATAAAAAAAATAAAACAACAGCTGATAAGCGCAAAACAACTTATTCTCGCCCTCTGTGCCATTAGTTCAAATGTTGCTGGTGCCTGAAGTTAGCGCAAGAAGTTGCCCAGCTTATGATTTAACAAGTATATTTAAATTCATTTTTAACAAGACAACAACAAAAGCTAGAGATTCACTCGCAACAGGCGGCAATTGCAAACAAGAACTTAACAAAAATAAAATAAAATAAAATTATAATCACAAAACAAAAACAAGAACAGCAGAAACAAAAAAGAAAAAAAACAAGAACAAAAACAAAAGCAGTAACAGTAAGAGCAACAACAATTATTCAAATACAATATTAACAATAACAAGAAGAAATATTAATTGAGATTTGATATCGATATCGATGCTGCTAGTAAATTAGACGTCAGCTGCCCAAAGTTTTAACACCACACGCTTCCACAATGCTTTTGATAAAGTTTTAACGCAGCTTTGCTCAATTGCCCGTATAAACAATACCAATAACAATTCAAAGGTACAAATGCCCGGCTAGTTAAAATAGTAGCAGAGCAGAGAAATAGCGGCAGAGCATTAGCAGTGCCAATGACAGCGAAGCGCCAAAGCAGCGATGTCAGTAGCACTTGTTGTTAAAAGGTGAGTAGGTAAAGGAGGGAAAACCTTGTTGGTGATAGTTGTGAGTTGAGTGGAAAGCAAACCCAAGAGGAAATTCATTAAAATTAAAACACAAATTTTTTCCTGTGCTCAGTCAGCGTAGAAACGCGTTGAGGTAAAGATCGTGTTGGTTTGTATTGCTTCATTTTGCTTATTATGCTTATGATTTGTTTATTGCTGTGCGGCATATTCCAACAAATACACAATATTTGAAAATAAAAAACCCAAAAACAGTTAAATCTGCCATAAATCATTTGTGCAACAGTGCGTGTGTTTCGTGTATTTCGTGTGTGTGTGCTTATGATTTCTTTATCAGGTTTTTATTAGCTTTAATTGTTGTATAAATTTTTAATGCATAATGCATTATACATTTCAATAAAAAAACTATTTTATTTCATAATAATTAAATAATCATTTTGTGATTAATTATACAATAATTATATTTTATTTTTGCTATCAAACGAAAAATTAGTTTAAATACATAATAAACAACCAAATTATCAACCAAAATTGTTTGTCAACCGTTCGTGTGAATAAAAAATGTTTTGGACGCGGCTTTTGGCAATCTTGTTTGCCATTGGCTTGGCTAACGCTGGAGTAGTGAGGCAGAAAGAAGGGCGCGCTGTCAAAGAACCGTGGGAACTGTTAGAGGCATTATCAGCGAATTCACAAATACGCAGTTTTGGTGGTACATGGATAACGGGTGAGTGTAAATGTGTTATACTAAGTGTGGAAACCCTTGCAAAATATGTGCGGAAGTAGGAAAATTTTTAAAAGAAGAATATGTGAACTTTTTCTGAACTTAAATTCTAGCTTACACCAAATTAAGTGTTATAATTATAACAGTTGAAAAAGTTCCAAAAGGTTGTGCTTACAGAAATCTGTGTCTAAGGTGAACAGATTAATGTCGTTTTCGATGGACAAATAAAGATTTGCTCTCTATCTGTTATTTTTGCTCGAATTTTGTGGTCCGATCGAATTCAACCTTAAAAGGTAATGCCAACATAATTTTTTTTGCAGTGCCATGACTAAGTCGGAAAATTTTTCTAAACTAAATAAATGAATAAATTTATTTAAATTAATTGTTATTTATACTTATTTATATGATGTTATTTATATACGAACGTCTTGTTTCATATATATTTTTCAATAACATCGTCTTTGAAATCATTCACCCTAGGCTTTTTTCTACCTCATTGAATATTTCGAAATCAACAGAAAAATCATTCTCAGACGACGACTGACTTTCAATCAGCTGTTCTATTATTTTATTCAGTTTTAGCTTCTTTTGTTGTATTATTTTATTAATTAATTTATAATTTTAATTTACAATTAAGCAATATTTTTAAATGTTTGCAATACCAAACAAATTTCAATTGTCAAACCACATAAAACGCCAAATAATTTCGGAGTAATTTCATTAATCTGATAAAGTATCTAGAGTGTTATAAATCGATTTCGAGTGTTACACATTTTGCTTGAGATTTTGCTGTACTAAAATCGGGTGAAAAAGTTGCCACAGTTTAGCCAATCGACATAACTATTATAACTATATAACAATTGAAAAAATTCCAATAAGCTATTCCCGAAATTATGTCTAAGCGAACAGATTAAAATTGTAAGCGAACAGTCCAAGGGGCTAGTATATATGAAATTCAATTGCACTATAACTTATAGAAGATTTGTCCCTAATACTCATGACAAAAAAATTTTTTATTTAATCAAAAGCATTCGATTTAGAAAATTAAACTTAACAGAAAAGTACAAAAAGTTATTTCAATGTAGAACATAATTTTTAACTTGTTTTTTTTTTGTTATTAGCTTTAATGCTGTTTTCTAATTATGAGAAAAAATTGAATTTATTAAAGACCATAAAATCGGATTAAAATTCCATTGATGTAGTCGTTCTCGAGTTGACATTACTAAAGGCAAAACCGTTCAAACTGTACAGAATTCGAAAGGTGCGCTATAATTCTGTCCACATTCAGTCCACATCGTGAGCCAGGGCTGTAGGATAAAGTCTTCACAAACAAATTCGTGTAAATCCCTTCATTAAACGGAAAACCGGAATTGCTTTATATCAACAGTCCGAAAAAAGCTTTTTATTTTGTTTTTTTATGTATTGCTTAGTTATTTAGTATTATGAAATTCTACAAAATCCAATTCAGCAATCATTCAGTTGTGAAAATTGATTTAGACAGTGCTTTTTTCCTGTTTCGATGCTCTGGTGTCATCAGGAGTCATGCTGTAACGATGACAAGGGAAATAATTTTTTTGTATTGTACAGTAAAACATCTATACAGTAAAAACTCTACAAAAATATAGTTCTGTTGAATGAATATTTCATTTAAACGAACAACTTTTATAAAAATGAAGTTTCTTTTTATCGCTTCTCAAAATAACTCAACCTCTTTTGCCGGGCACCTTTCTTGAATTGAAAAAATTGGTCCCTAAAGTTTTTTTAAAAATTTTTGAAAATTCCTTTATATTTTCTAAAATAGCTTCTTTGCAACTTGATAAATTTTTAAAATTTATAAATACTTAATCCCTTTTGTCCTATATTCACTGGATCGGTTTTTGTGATTTAAGCTTGGTGGTTCAATATTTGCTTCAAGCCAGACTATATAAATTTTATAGTTTAAAATATTTTATACAGGGAACGTGCTTGGTTGTGTGTTTGTGTGTGTGAGAATTAGATAAGGTTAGGCTCATATAGCAGTTAGTCTAATCTGAGTCTTGTGATAGCACTACTTAACACGGAAATTAGCTATTACCATTTAAGAAACACGCACTTAGGCTGGCAGAATACAATATTCTGAGAGAGAGAACATATAAGGTGGTGGATTCTATTACCGGTAAAGTTGGAAACAATTTAGGCGCTAATAAAGAGAAAAATAGTTTTAATCTTAAATCTGTACACTAATGTGACAGCATTAAAGAAATAATAGCCTAAGAAGTTAGCTTTACTTCTAGCTAGATTTGGGAATACGCAAAATAATTGTTCCATAGTTTTTTCCTCTTTATAATTTCCATCACTTCAACAATTTCTTCAATATACTCCCCGCCTAAGTGGGTGTCTACTTAATTGTAAGAGAGCGGTTATGGTAGCCACCACCTTACATGTTCTCTCTCGAAAGGCTCAGCAGCATCCTTGATTTTTGCTTGTCATGTTCCGGTCACAATAATCTAGACGTAAGACAAGTGTTTTTGTAGTCCATTAAAGACAGAAGACTATTATGCTTATATGAGCTAAGTTCCAACTAGTTTTTCTGTAAATGAAATATCTGTTTAAGTAGATAACATAATTATTGATTTGCAACATAACTATTTGTGTGAAGGTTGTATCAGGAAAATAATCCGGGTTATTATGGAGAAAATAAATAGTGCCAAATTGATTTACTTTAATTCAGGACTTTCTATAAAATTTATATCGGTATAATCAGCTTGTATGTAAGTTGTACACAAATTTGAATTGAAATAAATAAAATTTATGGATGAAATTATTCGCATACTCAACCTACTTATGTTAGATTAGGTTAGGTTACTGGGGCCGTCCGAAGATGCAGTTCGACCAGGAGGTCCATTTTGATTCCTGTTGCAAAAAAATTTGACACCTGTCACTATAAGCATTTAGTACTGGCCTTAAAACTAGGGAAATAGAAGTTAGCTCTCTTAGCGAATTGAAAAAGTGAGACTCTAAGTAAGACAGTCTATGTCTTGCGAAAGCAGGGCTCTCTAACAGAAGGTGCATTGGTAATTCGTCTTCGTCATCCTACGTGCAATGTCTACAGTGCAAAGAGACTCTGATATTGAGCCTCACGGCATGTCCTCTCAACGGGCAGTGTCCCGGTATACCACTTAGTTTTAATTAAACATTTTTTTAGATAATGTTGCAAAATCAAAAGAGATTGTTCAGATTATATGCCAGTCATACCAAAATCTGTATGCCAAATTTCCATCATTTGGTTCAAAAATTGATAGACTAGTTTGCTATAAAACAAAGAAGCAGACAGACATAAATATCAATTGCTTGGAGTTTATAAGGCGCATAGGTTTTCAGTTATTTTAAGAGCGGACATTGATTTATTAAATTTACTTTCGAATGACATTAGTTTATATTTCTTGCTGTATCTTAATAAATTTTGATTATAATCTTTATTTTTTCAGTTTAATTTTAAATTTTAATTTTTATAACAACGCTTTTAATATATTTTTATCAATTTGAATTACTATCACAAGAAATTCATTTCCTTTGGGCTATTGCTTTTTGGGCAACAGAAAAGGTAAGCTGTTATCTGTTATCATAATAAACTCAAATCTAATCTTTAGAGTTACACAAAGTGTCGATATTAGCATTAAAAAGTTATCGCTTTATAAATAAGCAAATTACACTTTTCTTGTATTGTTTACAATCTTCAATATTAGTTCTTGTTTTCTCTATAAAACCAGCATTATTTATCGCATACTTCATTGGTTGAATAGTATTTTCAGGGGTCATAAAATGAATAATTTTGTGACTTTGAGGTTTTATGGAATTGCTTCAGTCACTTCATTTTCATGATTGTCACACACTTGCCTGCTTCACTTTCACTGCAGACCTTCCGCTTGCCAGTTGCTTCGATTTAATTGACCCTTAAGTATTATTATTTACGATGTACTCCATACTTATCTGAAACTTATCTGCTCTGCGTCACTTATGTAGCGACGTGACGACGCACGTATTGCGTTCAAGATCTCGACCAGTGATAGGCCATTCAACTGTAATTAATTTCTCCTAAATTGTTAAATGCGACATTCAAGGTTGCCGATTGTCATTGATACTTTTATTAATATTACAGCTTAATTTTAACCGGTTCGAGTCAATGGGCTTAGATTGTAAAAAATCAAAACTCATATTGTACTTATTGTGTTAAATAATATTTTATAATATTTTTATGTTTTCAGTAGAGAAACTATTTGATAATTTGATAATATTTCCGTCAGTACCGAATAATTTATGAAAAGATTAAATCTAATTGCCTGTATATTTATTCGAAAGTAATCGTTAAACACGGTATATTACCTGTTGTTCTATAATGCCATTGTCGTCTGTCAATCCTAAAATTCTGAAGTAAACATACATAAAACTATAGATTTCAAACAAGAATTAAGTCGTTAAGTAATACTTTAGGACTCAAGTATGTTAAAAGTCGTATATTCTTACTATTTTTAGATATACATGTACAAGGGATCATTGTTAAGTCAGTAATAATGCTTTTAATAAGTTACAAAGTATTTTTGTAATAGTTTTCTGGTAATGTGGTAGTATTTAAAAGTTTGAGTTTAAAATACTTCTTCGATAAAATAGCTACTTTTGTCGTCGCAGCTGTTAAATACTCATGCCGCATTAAGCGACCTATAGGTCGTACTATAGGACCCATAGGTTATGTTATACATAACCTAGAGCAATTAAGCAAAAACACAAAGTGCGCTGGTCTTATAATAAACACCGACAAAACCAAAGTTATGAGCAGTGGTTACGGCTTAGAACAGTCTTCAATGTGTCGACCGCTTTTCGTACCTGGGCAGTATAGTTACAAACAATAGTGGCACGGATGAAGACGTTGCTGCACACATTGTTAAAGCCAAAGCTGCATTTGGTATGCTGCATAACGTATGGCGGTCAGACCAAATCACACAAAAACCCAGCTAAGGATATCCAACTCTAACCTAAAGTCAGTATTGTATTATGGCTCTTAAACCTGAAAATGCTCAGCTCAAAGTCAATTGAGCAGAAAATCAAAGCCTTTATAAACAAGTGCTTAAGGCAGATTCTTAAAATATTGTGGCCGATTCGCATGTCAAACGAAGAATTTTGGGAACGAACAGATCAAGTATGTGCGAGTACTGAAGTTAAAAATGTAAATGGAAGTGGATACGGTATACTCCTCACATGTATATTACGAATTAAGCGCTGAGATGGAGTCCGCAAGGATCCCGCCATCCTGGTGTCCCGCCAAAACTTGGTAAAGAATTGTTGAAGGCGAACTAAATGAGATGGGTTATTCGTGAGAATAACTTCTATGCAGAGAATTAAACAATAGAGTGAGATTTAAAGGGATTGTTGAGGCCCTATGCTCCACTGGGAGAGCATAATAATATAATAAAATAATCAATTTATAAAAAACAGAAAAAAAAATTGACAGACTGTGTGCTATCATTTAGAATAATTCCAAAATGGTCTACTAAATTAAGTTGTCTAAGTCGTCTAATAAATAAGGCTCAATAGGGCAACAATTTCGGTTATGGTTTATGAAAATCAGGATTTATTGAATAAGGTTTGAGTAAGATTTTCTATTTAGTGAGAATCTTCAGTGAATACATTCATAAGATTATGTGAGACCAATTGCCTATGAAAAATTTATCGGCAAGCAGTGTGCCGCGTCAAAACCATATCGAGTGATCACTTCCAAGTCTATTTGTCAATACTACAACGCAATCTTAAAATGTTTCTGAATCGATTAATGAGACAATGATAGATATACCGTTCCATCAGCGGGAAAGGTTAAGGTTTATGTTTTTTGGTTGAGACGTTCATGACACAATTATAAATAATAGGGTAAAAAATGGATAAACATTGAATAAACAGTAAATATTCCTAACAAAGTGTTTCAAAATGTCATCAACTGGAGAGGTTAAAATTGAGATACATGGCAAACTACCACAAATAATGCAGAGCAATAACAAGGCAATAATATGCTAAAGCTAAAAGCTAAAAGCTTATCATATTAGCGAAGTGAAAGAAAAAACACCACACTTGCAAAATAAATAAAAAAAAGCTTCTGTCATCATGGTAACACATTAGTTAATAACTGTAAATTATTAATGGATTCACCGAAATTCTCCAGAGACGAAAGATCATTTGAAACAATACAAAGCGGCAAACCAATCGAAGACACATTCTTATGATAGGTTATGGCTTAAGGTTGTTTGGGATACCTATAGTATAATTGTGGTTGACTAAATCGAAAGCAAATCGGTTATAGGCAAATGTGAGGAAGGCCCCCAAATTATATGGTAAAAGTAGAAAAAAAAATTGGTTGAATCTTTTCGGTAAAGGAAAGCAATTATAGTACCAAAATTTATTAAATTCTATTATATCTTCTCATATCCACATTTTTAACAAATTTCGACTTCTATTCGTTGATGTGGCTTACCGGAGAGAAATGGCAAACATTAACCCGTAATTTCTGCAATTAGTTAAGAATTTTGGAACCTCGAAAATTTTATTTTTCCGAAAATATAGGATTATTTGAGTTTGGTTGTAAGAAGTATGGGGAGTTTAAAAGAAACTAAGTCCAAAAATGTTTTAAAAGTTAGTTTGAAGAAATTTATTTCAAGAAGCCAAACGAGCTTACAAGGGATTTGGTTGAAATAAAAACTTTAAACTGAGAAGCCATTCAATTGCTATTATTTGTCACTGACTTAGTACCCTTGCGTATATTTATTATATATTAGAATTGTGTATATAAAAGTAAATACATACATACAAAAAAAAAACATATCTGTAATTTTGATTAATAATTGCAGATGACGAATTCTATTATACTGCATCAGACAAATCAATACATAAATACAATGCCGCCAACACTTTGGATACAGTTTTTGTGACTTCAGATTTTTTGGTATTTAATTAGAATATTTATTGCCAATTATTTTTATAAATTTATTATATATTTTGGTTTTCCTTTAGGAAAAATACTCAAGTGGTAGTACTTTCACATTGTCGCCAGACAATAAAAAAATTTTGGTGCGTTATGATGTAGAAGAAATCTTCAGACACTCTTTGATAGCCAAATATGACGTTTTCGATATTGAAACTAAGTATTTACAATACACCGCATTAAAATAGTTTAATTAATTAATTATTTAAAAATTAATTACAGAAACTCTATCAACATAAATAATGGCGAAAAACTACAATATTGCACTTGGTCACCAATCAAAGACCGACTTTCCTTTGTATATGACAACAATGTATACATACATTTTGAAGAAAATCTTGAGACACCTATCACATCCGAAGGTAAAAATGGTATTATTTATAATGGCATACCCGATTGGGTATATGAAGAGGAGGTCTTGAGTAGCGGTAGTGCAATGTGGTGGTCGTCTGATGGGTTAAAATTAGCTGTAGGCGTTTTTAATGACACCAATGTGCAATCATTTAAATATTTTCTATACGGTGAAGCAGAGGATATGGAATACCAATATCCCAAAGAAGTCGATTTGAAATATCCGAAACCCGGTACTGAAAATCCAGCAGTAGCTCTGCGTATCTTTGATTTTAGTAAAGTAGAACCAACATCAGTGAGAATAACCGCACCCATCGATATTGTATCACCCGATCATATTTTACAAAATGTTGCTTGGTCTAGCAAGCAAGAAATATTGGTTACTTGGCTCAATCGCAGACAAAATATTTCTTCCATACAATCATGCTCAATTGATGGTGCATGTAGAGAGGTAGGTATTTCTGTTTTGTTATTTAATATTTCAAAAAACATGTAATATGCCCATTTTGTTAGGTTAAACGTATTGAAGAACCCAATGGTTGGATAAGCATGAGTACACCACGTTGCTTAGAGAGCGGAAACAATTGTTTGTTTGCGAATTGGATTGGTAATTGGTACCAAGTGTGGAACTTAGATTTGCAGACTGGTGAAAATGTTTGGAAATCTCGCGGTAATTTTACTGTTTTGCATGTTTATGGATATGATGAAAAGAATGATATACTGTAAGTAATTTCTTCAATGTTTTAAAAAATTAACTGTAAAATTTAAGTTTTCGAATACCATCTTCTATCTTCTGTTAATATTTTAATATTTTAAAGATGAAAAATTATAGTAAGGAAATACGATTTTCTTAGTTTTTATTAAGTACTTTTTGTCATTGAGAGATACTTATGTAATAAAATTTACAAAACTAATCACTAATATATAAGTTTTGATTAAAATAGCTAGGACGAAAGCGATTAAGAGGTACAGAAAGAATTTAATTAATTATAGAAAAAAGTTAAAACTTTTTAAAGAGGACTCAATATTAATCCTTACCTAAATTTATATAAATGTTGATGTAAAAAAAAGTTTATCATAATATGGAAAATTTTTAAATTTTCAAAACCTTCGTCACATCCAGCAAATGGACAGACATCACTTACCATTCTCCAACTTTTTGTGATTCAGAAAGTGTCAAACCAAAAGGACTTAAGTCATTCCAAATAATAACAATAAATTCTACTATTTTTTTGTTATTTGGCTTAATAATGTATCTGATTTCTAGAATCTTCAGTAAATAACTATAAAAAAATCCTTGAATTCTGTTGCTGGAGACCTGTTGTAGTTAATTCTTAATATACATTCAAAATTCATATAATATGTATGTGCAAAATGAATAATATTTTTTTTGCTGGAACCTTTCATTGGGAATGTGTAGATTCACACGTAATTGTAGTTGTAACTCATGTTGTTGTTATTGTAACCCGCTGGGACCTGCTTGTGATGTCATTTTGGGAGGTGTTATACGGCACTTGGTCGTCGCTGGAGACAAGTGGCTCCGAGACATAAACCCCGCCGTTCTTAGAACCCGTTGTACTCATTTAGTGTCTTTGTGAAGCATGAAATTTCAACGGCAGTAGTAAGTGACATCTATTTATTCTTAGTAATATATTCTCTGGTGATTCTATTTGAAAACTTTAAGAAGCTCGTAACATATTAACCACAAGAAATATAGTAGTTTTATACTATATAGAAAATAGTGGAAAGACAAAAAAATCAGTACCATTATGTGAAGTTAGAGATGGCTCCAAAATTGAACAGCGAAAGGGTTTGGCAATATACATCTAATAATCAAATATCCGGTAGTTTGGGTAGTATGACTTTGATATTTAAAATCGACATATACGCCATAATAAAAGGTGGTGGATATCTACTATCAGAAAACTTAAGACATAAGTAGATAATTTTCAAGATAATTAAGTCAAACAGTTCAGATAAAAAACTATTATTGGAGCGATAATTAGTCATTGCCTTCTAAACAAATTAAAGTTGTGGTTAGGACTTTCGACAACCGATGAATGCAGGCTGTGTACGAAAGACACAGAAACATATTTACATATTCTTGGAAAACTCCCTGCTCTTACTTTATGCAAGGGAAGAATGATCTATAAAGAATAAAATCCATAATAATATAAAATGTAATATATAATATAAATATAAATATAAAGATCCGCGAATCAGAGTGGCCAAACATCGATCTGGAAAGGTTTGAAACCTTTCTGAATACAGTTGAAGATTCATCGGTAATTATAGATAGGACAGGATACAATAGTTTATCAATGAACATAGTGTCATGAACAGCTAATGTTCAAGCCCGCCAAAATACAATGCAAAATGAACAGTTACAGTACATTATACGTTTAGACTAGAGTTTATAGTTGACTAAGTCTACGTTTAGTTTTATATTTTTGAATTCTGTAATATATATGTAATATTAAATGACTTTAAATAATTAATTTTTATATTCTATTTCATTTTTATTTTAGTTATTATCAGGCTACTTTGCCAAGCCATCCTGAAGTTTTTCATATTTTCGGTAATAATGAGTGTTTGAGTTGCAACTTACAGGACGTTGATGGTGTTGATTGCCGCGCAGCATCCGCTTCGTTCAGTAAAGGTTTTTCTCATTATGCTATTAACTGTTATGGACCAAATCCAAGCTTTACCAAAATATTCAGAGCAAAGGTACTACTATTCAACAAAAAACTAACTTTCCATAAAATATTGGTTTTCTTTAGGATCGTGTTGAAATAAAAGACTGGGAAACAAATGCAGCATTCCGCCAGAAACTTGAGACTAAATTGCGTCCAATTGTTAAGTTTGTAAATGTTACATTAGCCGATGGATCGACTGGTATAGCAAAACTACAACTACCGCCAAGTTTCAATGACACCCTAAAATATCCAATGATTGTTTACGTATACGGAGGTCCAAATTCTGTACGTGTTGGAAATAGTTTCACAGTTGGGTTTGATGGTTACATGACGACTAAACGTGAAGTAATCTATGCAATAATAGATGGTCGTGGCACTGGTAATAAGGGTAAAGAATTATTATTTTCTGTTAATAATAATTTGGGCGAGCATGAAGTCGAGGACCAGATTTATGTTACAAACCACCTGATCGAACAATTTCCATACATTGATAAACATCGTATTGGCATTTGGGGCTGGAGTTATGGTGGCTATATGACCGCAAAAACTTTAGGTGAAGACACTGCAGGTGTATTCCAGTGTGGTATCTCAGTTGCTCCTGTAACTTCATGGCTGTATTATGGTAGGTTCAATGAAATTCAAATCTTGTTACATATATCAATAGTATTCATCAACTTGAAGATACAATTTATACTGAGCGATATATGGGACTGCCAACACCTGAAGATAACTTGGAAAAATACAAAGAAAGTAGTGTTTTGCAACAAATTGAGAATTTCCGTAATCACGATTTTCTATTAATTCATGGTTCTGGAGATGATAATGTACACTATCAACAATCATTGATGTTAGCTAAGGTTTTGCAACACAATGACATACTCTTTGAAGAAATGGTAATATATATTTTTGATATAATTTTTATAATGTTTCTAATTTCAATTTAATGTAATATATTATTATTGCTTAACCTTTTTATAATTTTATAAATCATATAATTTTATTGTTTGCTATTTTTTATGCTTTATTTTAATTCTGTTTTTCATGTGTGCTTATTTTTAATTATTGTGTTATTATTTAATTAATTTAAACTTTTTTTAAATTACGTTTTGTACAACCTACATTTCTGGTAGGTTGTTCGGTTGCTGTGGATGATCGACAAATACCTTTACGCCTCTCATAATAAACAATTACCTGTTGTTGGTATTAAAACACCACATTTCTAGTAAAAAACCCCTGTGGAAACTAATCCCCTGTCCATTCAGTTAATTTTATGCAATTTAACAGATATTTTGTTCCCACTAATAAGCAGTCTGGTAGATTGCCAAGAATTTCCTAAAAATTTGTTCCTTTTGTTAGCCTAAGCTGGGCAGTTCAGACAAAGTGTGTGATTGTCTCCTCTTATCCAAATTTCCTTAACTACTGCAATAAGTACACCTTCATCCAAGCTTCTGCATCTTCCATCATAAGTGTTGAATGGATGATACAGCTTCCTTCCGTTGGATTCTGTACATCAATGACCTGAAAACACTGCAATTAATCTATTAGTATAGAGTGGGTCCCTGTTTATGAGTTTCTTGGACCTATTTTTATTGTATAAGGGCCAGGTTTACTCCCATTATTAGTTCGCTATAGAAAGTGAAGATAAGTGTCTCTTTTGATGGGCTCTGTGAATTCATATAATGGTATTCCTTGTGAAACGTCCATGAAAGCACTAAGGCCGACTAAACTATTTGTTCTTATGATCAGGAACATATATGAAAGTGATGTCAACGAATTGATTTACCTAACCGATTTCTGTTTTCACAATAATTTATTTTTTTTTATAAATTTTTATTTTATTATTCTTTTTCTTACTCATTATTTATTATAATTTGATTATCATGTTTATATAATTTTGTATTTTTGTTTCGTTACTTAAAGTCTTATGTTGTTGTTGTAACCCAGTGGGATCTACTTGTCGAACGGCACTTGGTTGTCGCTGGCGACGAGTGGCTCTGGGACGTAGACCCGGTCGTTCTTAAAGTCTTATAATAACTGTTTATTGATATTTTGATACTCTTTTACTAAATTATTTCTTATAATTTATTTATTATGGGTGGCATTATGTTCTATGACCACATATTAGGTATAAATTATTTATTTTCTTTTATATTTATAAATTTTATTGTTAATTCTAATTTATTGATTTATTGATATTGTCTAATAATTAATAAATTAATATTATTTATCACTTTTGCCTTAAAATAATTATTTTTTATTTTGAAACCTATTTGGTTATTTATTTTTTATAATTCGTTTATTAACTTTTTTTAATTATTTATTTACAAAGTATTTCTTATTCATAAATTATATTAATAATTCTATTTGTTGATATTCGTGGAATAATTATTATTATATATTTAATTTTATGTATCTTTTTTTATTAACATTTTTTAGATTATTTAGTTATAACTATTAATATTTATTTATTGTTTTTTGCAATTTTAGATTTTGTTAAATTTTTTATCGACGTTTTCCTTTAGGTTTTATTTTTGATTTATTTATTAATATTTTTTTTAATAAATATATATATATTATTTACTAGATATATTATATTATTTACTAGATTATTTATTAAAATTTTATTTTAAACACTTATTTTTACTTTACTTTTTGTAGTCATTAATAAAAACAATTCTTTTATTTATAATATTTTATTAATTTTTTTTGTTATTGAGTTTTTTAGTATGGTTTTTTTTATATATTATATGTATAAATTCATTCGATAATTTATTCATTTTTTGTTTTTATTTCTTATTTTTAATTTTACTAATTTTATTGAAAATCTAATAAAATCATTGTATTTATTTATTCATTATTTTTTTTTATTGTTGTTGTTTTTCAGATATCATAGATGTGCATATATTAGTGTTTTTTTTTTTTTGAATTATTCATTTATTTTATATTTATTTACCTATAAGTTTTATATAACTTTTGTTATTTGTTTTAAACACTTACTTTTATACGATCAGTTTTTATTTCCATTAATTTTTAATATGAAAGATTTTTTCTGAAAAGCGATCTGAAAAGCAGATAACATGAAAATAATTACGTGACGAATACATGGGTTAGAATGTGCATCGGTAAAGGGAAAGGTGTTGTTAGGGTTGGGTAGTTATGGATTGGGGATGGGTGGAATTTCAATTGAACTAAAGTAGAATCAAGACGGAAAAATCTGTGGAGTTCTATAGAGTTGGGTTTAAAGATCGATTGGTCTAAGGTTTGTGTATGCGGTGGGGCAGGAGAATAGATGGGTGGCATTATGGGTAAACTGACGTATTGACGTATTTATGCGTCGCAAGTAACTGTTTAGCTCATGTCTGTGATCTTAATTGAACTAGAACAGTTCTTCCTGGATGGGCAAGTAATCGTTTCTCCTGAGAATTATTAGGGGGGATTCGGAAATTACGAACATTGTTGCAGTGCAACTATGGTCTCGAAGAGAATATTGTCTCAGTGTGGAGTGTTGTTGGAATACGCTATTACGCAGTTTATTATTATTTACTTTTGTTTTGATTTACTTAAAATCGTATTTTAGATTTGCCAACATTTTTTGATATTTTTTATGTTATTTTTTATTATTTTTCTTATTTAGTTAAATATATAAAATTATATTTTAGTTATTATTATTATACTGTAAAAGGTTAATTTTGATTAAATAAATTTTTATTTTAAATAACTTTGGCAATATCCAATTGCCAAATATCTGTTATATAAAACCATAAAATATCTTTCAAAATATTTTATGATTTCAATAATCCGTATATATTTCTTATAATACTTTTAACATATGTGTATTAATTATTTTACGCCTATAAGTACTCATTTTTTTTTTTTAATTTGTTATTTATAATGACGTTTGTATAATGATGTTTTATAATGATGTTATAATGATGATCTTTTAAAGAACACATTGTTCTAGTGATATTTATTCATTTGTCTGTGTGTCGGTTTTAACTTGGGTCAGTCCCAAAGTTTTGAAGATATATTAAAATCTCTTTGCATTTAAATCTTAAAAGACCAGATTCTATAGTTAGTCGTAATCATATTGTCAAAGAGCTTAAGCATTGAGAACTATTTTGTCTTCATTATTAACGCAAAAATGCGGTTAAAATTTGAAACGTTATAAATGTTGCAATATTTGACTACATATATGTCAAATATATATATGCATATATGCTTAATTTTAGATTTGAATATAGCTGCAATACAAACTGAACTGCTAAATATATATTCCTTATATATATATATGGAAAATACATTTTCTAATATTATTTTATTAATTTTTGTTGTTTAGTTACTGGAATTGACATTCACATGTTTGTGGATTGATTAGGTGTTAAAAATATCGACTTCTGAATTTTTAAGTTAAAAAACTTTTATTATTAAATTTCCACTAATTTTGTGTGGAATATATTTAAGCTTAGATAGAACTGAAACTAATTATATCTAATTATATTTCAAACAAAAACATTCCTGCTTGTGTGACCCCTTTGGGTCTACAGCTGGACCCTGATTGATTTCAATTATATCCTCCCTTTCCCTTCCCATTATTTCTTATCTATCCACTTCCCTAACCTTGTATTTGTCTTGTAAAATTTGAAAAGCAGTTAACTAGCTTTTGAAATCCCTGCTGGCAACAACAACAACAACAACATTTCACCTTCCTATTTTAAATACAATTTTATATATATATGAAAATTTAATAGAAAAAATAATAATAAATAAAATTTAATGGAAACTTTAACTTTAATACTGTACACACACCACCTCTTCCTCTTGTTATGTTGTTGTTGTTGTAACCCGCTGGGACCTATAAGCAAATAACATAAAAGGATGTAGAAGACGATAACAGAAGTGGATAATTACCTGCTATCATTCGTTCGATGTGCCGATAACATGATAACTATGTTAAGTCTTTTCATAAATATGTCTTTCCATCTTGATTTTAGTTTACTTCGATATCTATGTGCTATCGAAATAGTGGAAATCGTTTATGTACATTTTTACGATACCATTTTTATAACGTGAGCGGCCCATTGAAGTATCTATGCTTGAAGAAGCCTTACAATATTTTCATTTTGTGGGAAGTCGTCGGTTTCAGTATATTAAAAATATATATTATAAAATTAATATATTAAAAATTAATACAAAATACTTATTATTCTCATCTGTTGCAGACTTATACTGATGAAAATCATTCCATCGGCAATTTCCAGCCACATTTGTATCACACAATGGAACAATTTTGGAACAACTGCCTAGGCTTGGATGATATAATTGAGGAGTAAGAAGTGTGACAAGTGCAACGTCTAAAAATATTTAATTCTCTATTGTTTTAAGTATGTTTGTACGTGCAAGTGATGTAATGTTTGTTTAAAAGTATTAATGCCAACTAAATGTAAATATATGTTTTTGTAATATATTTATAATAAAGTCTTAATTTTAATGCAACTGAAATATTTGATTTTTAATTTGCCAAGAAAAACTTTTTAGCAACCTTTTAGTTTTATATATATAAATATTTATTTAATATATTATTTATATTAATATGAAAGTCTTTAACTCTACATTTAACTCTACATGACTATCATTACAATGTATTTAATGAAAGTAATTCTTTATATGAAAATGGAAATTCTTTTTTACTCAGCATGCTTTGACAATATACTAAACAATACCTTTATGTCAATTTTTATATAAAATCCTTACAAGAAATTTGTGAAGTAAATTCAACTGAAATCGAACGCAACGAATATAGTTATATATTTTTCTATTATCGATGTTTCTTTAACTGGATCTCATACAAGTGAAACAACAAGTCAAGGAAGGAAAAGCAAGTAACAAGGATATAAGTCAAGTGCTGGTAACTTTATTGTTGGTCACATATTTCTGCCAATGTTTTCACTTATTTAAAGGATAATTCCTTCCATTGACATGTGCGATTCCATTTGTAAATCCTGCAGTACTTTCACTAAATCCACTTACGTTTGCAAGTAGTTCCTTGCAAACATTGTAAACATATCCTTTTGCTCAGATATGTGCAAAAGCTGGATTATATGCACATTGTGGTCAGTTATTTTTCAAAGTCAAGTCAAAGTCCCATTGACATTTCTCTTATGTCACATATCCACTAGCCCGGTGGTTATGGAGCTACTGTTGCCACTCTTCCCACTCTTGCCACTCTTGCGTATTCCTGCCTTTGTTACCGTTTCCGCTTACATGCAATTGAAAGGATTTAAATTGCAATTTGATTTCTACTTTAACCTCTTAAGGATTATGAAACAAAGTTAAGTGTTGCATATGACAAAAAAGCGACGATGTATTGGCCAAGCAGAACTCAACTTGCTTCCATTTTTTAATAACATGTATATATATCCTTTTTGTATCTTAAGTTTGCTGTTATTTGTTTTTCTTGACTTTGCTTTTGGCTTACATGAGCGCAAGACTGAATATATGAGGAAGTCAATGCGATTGTATTGCTTGACTTTGAAATTTTATATAAATTTCTCTTTTATTTTCAACTAATAACTTTTATAGAATTCATTGATCCTTGATCCTTGCTGATGGGTAATTGTTTGTTTTACTGAAGTTTGATGTAAAATATTCTTTGTTATTATGTTTATTTCTCATGTTAAGTAAAAAGTTAAATAAGCATCATTGCCAAGGATTTTGATTTGACTTTGAAAATATTTTTATGCTTGTTTTAAATTATATTGAAAATATAGTAAAAACTTTCTCAACGGACGGTCTTGTAAAATTAACGTTTATCATTGTTTGAAATAATTTAACAATTTTTCGGCGGCCATGCCTCCTCAACGAACAATGGGTGGCTGATTAAGAATGTTCTTACAGTAGTTGTTTTGTAATGATTTTGTAATGATCTATATACCACGAAGTATGAAAGGAATTATTAATATATAGTATAGAATTTGCTAGAAACAGGCAAAGTGAGAAGAGGGAGTGTTGGTTGGGATCAGAAATGGAATGAGTGGGTAGGTAGGTCTTAGTAGAGAACCTTACAATTTTAATGGGTCGATATGAAAAATTAAAATAGCCTAAGTAAGTGATTGAAAAATGGTTTTCAATTGAGAGAAGTTGCTACTGGTTTGACATTCTAGGTAACCGTCAGGCTAATCAGCTGGCTCATCCCTACAGTTACGGTAAAGTATCCTTCTTCAGCAGAACGGAATTGAGGTTGCTGATGGGATATTTAACGGGTCATTATGGATTATCACCTTAACAAAATAGGTCTGTCCAATGATGCAGATTGTCGACTCTGTTAAGAACCAGACGAGACATTCTTTGTGATTTCCTAGTCTAGATCTGGGCCAGGTTGAGGTTGATGGGTCGAGAACTACTCTCCTCTTCTGATATTAGGAGGTCCTCAACGGCTGATATTCTGGGTTTCATTCGAAAGGCGGAATGTCTTCTGCTCGTTTAGGATCTGTAGCAGCACAAAAAATCAACTATGATCGTGGTGCTCCACTCTGTTGGGCGCTGGTACCCTGTTTATTTCTGGTCTGTTCTATACCTCAACGTTTGTTCTGTATTTTGCTGCTGTGCAACAAAGGATACTGCATGGAAAGGATACTGCATCTCTATGCAAGAAAAAGGGTTAGTCCTCTTTTTATTTTGGAACTTATTCAATTGCAATAAGCGTCGATGTATTCATGATAATGGGAGAGCTTTATTGATTATGGTACCAGTGAGATGCCCATGTGTGTGGCATGAAAGAAAATATTCTTCAGACAGGGACTATTCTGGTAGGCAAAGCTTCATTGCAGTTTGTGATAGTTACGGTTATCAGTTATTTAACTATTGATTACCTTATCATTGGATTAAATTTTTTGCATCGAAATAACTAATAATACTTTATTAATATATTTAAAAACAAATGAAAAATGCATCTATTATTATGTTATAATAAAAAGATATCTTAAACGTTTTCTTTAGCTAGTTTAAAAGTAAAGCGCTTATCTTACCACCAATTTATCTATTATAACTTATAGTTATTTTTGTAAAGAAATTCTGATGTACTTGTATAAATTACTCCATGTAGAGCATGTCTTTTGGTCATGACAAAAAAGGGCGAAAAATTGTCGTGACCACTCGTCACTATGACTGTCTGTATAACATGGTTTTGAACCGATATTCCTTCTTTATTTTTTAATTTACATCGGAAACGTCAACTTTAAATTTAATGTAGACGTGACTGTCTGCATAACATCTCTGTAAAGTTTAATACATATATCATTGAAAAAATTTAAAATTAACTTTAAAATATGTGTAAGTAAATTCATAAAAAATATTTTTACTATAAAATTTGTTTCCAATTTATTCTCATAAAACAGTTTACATAGTTGAAAGTCAGTTTTATAGTGTGGAAACCGAAATAATGGATTCAAAGAAAACTCCAAGTAATATGCGGTAAGTATATTCTAAAAAGTTAATGAAGTTCTTAGTGTTATTTATTTATTAATACATTTAAATCTCAAACCACATTATTTTTAAGTGGTCCACATTTTCAAATAATGTTCTTTTTGATAGGTTCTTGAAATAAGACATTTTTTATTTTTGGTGATCTGAATGCGTCTAAAGTCTTTCAAAATAAAAACTAAGGCTTTGAATGACTTAATTTGCACTTTGTTCTTTATTGATTTTAATAAACACTTCTCAAGCTTAGGAAGACGTAGCAAGTGCTAACTTATAACTGCTTTGTCACTGTCTAGTTCTTGCGAAACATATGAGTATATCAGACATTTTCTTTCTAAAAGATCTTTGTCGTTTAAAGTGTTGTTAAGCTTTATTTAATGTTTCAAGCTATAAGCAAATAGAACTAAGTCGATACTTTTATTTAATCTGTGTAGTTTAATAAACTATTTTAGCAACGCGTGGCTCAAGAAGTCAACTTTCTGCCTAATAAAAATAAAATGAGATTATCTTATTTGTTTATATTATATTATTTAATATGTGTGGCATATAAAAGAATTAGAAAACAACCTCTCCTTCGACAATATAGTACATAACACAACAATTTGAGAATTGCAAAAACACTAACGAAAAGAGTATTTTCTATTATGAAGCGCTGTGCACAATTCTGGTATGCTATTCCTATAACTTATCTCTCCAACTAACATATCATTCGTCTATATTTTTTATCAATTACATATCGCTAATACGAAATCAGCCTATTGTTTATAATCTATACAATGTGTTTCGACTTCAAATTTATATTAAAGCTTATGTTGTTTAGCAAGCGACTCTAATTTAGGACAGAAATAACTTAAAAACAGAACTTTACTAGAAAATATATTCGGGTTATGCTTCTTGGTGTGTCATCAAGAATAAATGATCTCTTCAGTGTTCAGAGAAGTGTATAGGTATTCAATAATTTGTGCTTTGCATTGCATTGTTTTACTGAAAATCTTGGACTATAATACTATAAGTTTACTATAGTCTCGATTTGCGAAACGAATGTAAAAACATTTATTTTACTTTCTTTTATATATACCTATGTACCTACTTATCAGTAAGCTGAGGTGTGGAATTTGAGTCGGTACTCAAAAAGAACTTTCAGATGAGTGGGATTATTTCATAACTATACACTAATAAACGATACATTTTCATATTAAAATAAAAAATTATTTTGATAAAAGTTGCTTATAAATTTAAAACGGTGTGTTGAGAACTGCAATAGTTCTTATATATATATATGAAGAAAATATCATAATGTAACATAATACATTATTTTTGTATTTCCAATAATATACAAAAAAATAAAACAAATTGCTATATAATATAATGTAAATTTTTTTTCATTATAAGATTATTAAATTTTAATTGTTCTCTAGCAATTTCTCCCGCAAAGTATCGGGTGGTAACGATAGAAATGAACTTAGTTTGAAACGCTCCGTGGGCAAGAAAAAGTAAGTTAACTTACAATATTTTATTTTGTTACTTTTTCTGAATAAACAAAATAAGAACCAATTAAAAGATAATTAAAATTTTTGTCATATTTATTTCTTAGTGTCAAGTCGTTCAAAGAATATGCAGATCACATCAAGAGTGAAATCCAGCAGTCAAAGAGCCTAACAAAGTATGTCATCACTGTACATACAGTAGTAGCAGTATTTGTTATAAAAGTAATCACTCAAATGTTCATGTGATATTTTAAATGTTGAATTAGAGTTATAATTAAAATTACTAATCAATAGGAAATATTATACAACGCGATTGAAGTGGTCCAATATGCTAGCGTCAGTTATTTTAATCAATTATTAGGATTGAGACAATCTTTACAACACTTCAGTCAGCAGTGTTTAGTCAGTAACCCGAAGAGAATTATGATGTGCTATCTGCTCAAGGTACAAGGAGTGAATATGAGATTGCTTTATATGGATTGATGAATTTGTTAGCTTGTCTTTGGTTTTAACAGATTTCTAATAACTTTTTAATTGAGAGACTTTTTCTATTATGTGTCTTCTCGTCAAAGTAGAGAACGGTTCAAGATCAAATTGTTGTTGGGTTGCTCCCTTTCTGCCATGCCTGTCTCGACACCTATAACGAAATAACGCGATCACACTGCTCCAGTGCATAGACGAGCAATAAGCATTAAGCCAGCATTAAATTTTATTAGACTTCAGTCAGTAAGGTCAGTAAGACCTTTTGACTATTAAACTTACTAATTATTGCTGTATTATTTTTTTCTTCAAACATTCGTGAATATAGGTTTTCATAGTAAATAACTTTACTTGAAAAGTAATGGCTATATCTCGATAGCGCAAGCTTTTTGAAAAGAATATGCTGTTAAGTCTGTCGCAGTATCATTATTATCCTGTGATTTGTTGCCTTAAGATGTAAAGAAAACAGTTATTCCACTCTATCTGCTAGATATATAGTTCCTTCATAAACTAACCTTAAATATGTAAGAATATTAGTAAGAATATTAAAAGTGTTGCAATTATTAACTCGGAGGAATGTGGAGGAATGTTAAATCTGGGGTAAAGTTTTATGTATTCTAAATAAGAGTTAATTATTCTGCCGAAAGCTTTCTCCAACTATCATTCGGCATATTCGAATGTTCAATAAGCAGGTCCAAAAATGGGTCAGACAGATTTCAAGATATCTTATAAGATATGACAATTAAAAATTAATTAGAAATTAATAACTTATCTACTTATGGTGTTTGTTAACCCGGTTTATATTCACAATCAAATTTATAAAACACTCAGCTTACTTTTGCCCTACGTTTTATTTACTTAATGTTCTTATTGCCGCATTTAGTGTTATTTACATTAACATCAGATTGTATAAGTCATTTTAGGTCTTACTTCCTGTAGTATTTTTGTGCGGCAGCATCTCTTCTTGTAAATATTTCACAGAAATTACCTCGCAGGCAGGTCAACACAGTATAACTTTTTATTCCCCAGTTGTTGTTTTTAGCTTTATTCCTTCTAGGTCCTGTCCACATAACTTTGTAATGAGATGACGGTTGATTATTGAATATAGATAGTAAATATAGATTGTTCTATTAAACAAGTGCAACTCTAAGATTCCACTGGAGAGTTTCCTGAAGCATTAACCATAGAGTCGCTGTAAGAAGAATATTCTACAGCTACAGATTTCCGTAAATATTTTGAGCAATGGAGAAACCTATAACGCACATGGTTGTTATTTTCGGTTATAGTTTTTGTCGATAGAGAGTCAGTGGCAATAATTAGCTTAATTGTTGGTTTCTATTGACTACTTTTGAGCACTCACTAGTTGCAGATCTTTTGCAAGGTCTAAGATACTTGCATTTGAAACAGCAGAATACCAGCAAAGTACGAACAATTTGTGTTAGAGAAAAGCTGTTCTTCTCTATCAGGCTTCTATAGCCTCTTATTAAAGTTTCGTAATCTCCAGATTGACTTAAAGTCAATAACAAAATGACATAATTACAAACTTTTTGTGGAATTGCCATGAATTTGGTAAAGTTTTAATACGTTTCACACAAAGTTATTAAGAAATATTCATATTAATAATAATTAGTGAAGTTAGTAGAATTCTTTAATTATAATCCGTCATTATTTTTAATTCAAATATTTCAATTAATAGTTTCGAAACTCTTGGTGGTAGACAAAGCTTGAGGACATCAACAAGCAACTCTCGGTATGTATCCTTTTTGTTTTTGATGTATATATTATAGCTCATTGGCTTGAATGAGGTGTTTTTTTATTAATTAATAGTAGTTCTCTCAAAACTGTTAATTCTTTAATTTTGTATATTTTAGTATGAAATTGCGTTATGGCATTGAGGGTAGCCTTGAAAACAATCCAAAGTCCGCTATGAGTAATATCAGGTATGTAAGACTATCTTCACTTTAGAAATACTTGATTTTAAAACCTTTGAGCTTCAATTATATTATATTTTATGTTGTTGATAAATATCGTTAATATAGTATTTATTTTTAATAAATTTTCAGTGTTAAGGCAACAAAAAGTCAAATTGGGTACGTAAGCTATTTTTTAGATGCGAAATTTTATTTAAATTGGAACATATTTATAAAAAAAAATTTGTATTAAACTGAACATTCAAACTTTTTCAGTGTTCCATCACCTATGGAAATAGGAAATGTTATGGAAGAGGAATTGGATTTCAGACCGTCAACTAGTAAAGCGAGGTATATTAAAAGCTTTTTTCTAAATTTTTATACATGCGTTAAGTACTAGTATCTCTCATTAAACCCTGATGATTCTACTTATTTAATATTTATATACTCAACTTCTTACTGCTCAATGCAGTAGACATCAAATTAAGCGAATAAATTCATTAATTAAAACTTCATTGCATCCAATGAAAATATCAAACACACCTCTTAGTTATTATATCATAAAAATCATTTCTAAAAAAAATTTGAAATCGTTAGATTTGTCATAGCCTTCTATTGGGTTCTGTGAAAAATGATTTAGTTTTTTCCCAATAGAGCATTTAGTTCAACTAGTCTTGTGAAAAAAGTAGAATAATTCTACGCAGTAGGTTTTAGTTGGTGGTCTTTTATTTTGTCATTATCGAAAAGGTAAAATACTATTGGAGCAAAGAAATGGTTTGCTGAATTTCAATCCGACAGTTTTGATGTGAAAGATGCCGTTATGCATCTGGAAGAGCAATTGAAGCTGGGTTTGAATTTATGGAATTTGACAGTTTGTGAGCATTTGTAATGCCTAGTCTACCTAATTCCATAAATTGACATATGGGTTTCTCTTTTTTTATAGAAAAATATTTAAGCTGTCGCTTTGAGGTTTGTAATTGGAATCTTAAAGGTCAAGAGAAAGGTAAACGTTTAAAACGCATCATCAGTAGAGATGAGAAATGGGTTGGCTACAATAATGTTAAATGCAAGATGTTCATAAAGAAAATACGATGAACTGGTTGAAAGCGCTTTAGAAGTCGATATTTATCGAAAATGCTATTTTTCTGGTGAAGTTCATAAAGAAAATACGATGAACTGGTTGAAAGCGCTTTAGAAGTCGATATTTATCGAAAATGCTTGAGTTTCTGTCGGACAATTTATTGTGCTCTAAAATGTACTGTCATCAGCTGGACGACTTGAATATTTATTTAAACTGAAAAGCCATAATTGATAAACTGAAATGGAGACATAATTGAAAGGAGTGATATCCTACCAAGATAATGTGAGACTCCATAAAAGTTTGGTAATTTGAAAAAAGCTTTTATGGTTTGGATGGAATATGCCTATAAAATTCTTTAGACGGTAAAAACTTTGCTTCAAATAGGGAGCTAAAAATCACTTGAATTAGTTTTATGCCAGCAAAGAAGAAAATTTTCATGAGCTACTGCCAAAAATAATAATTATCCATTTTTTTCTGTAGCCCATAGTATAAAAGTAGTAAGTATTCCGTAGCATTTTTGTGCAACATTTTAGGTGTTTTTCCTTTTTTTAAGTTGTATTGTTTTTCTGAAGTGTTTGTTACGTTATTGAAAATTTGGTATAGCGTAACATATACAATCATTATATAGAATTGAATAGGTAAAGTCATAGTTTTGTCGTGTTATTTTGTCTAATAAATCTATATCTATTATCATTTTCAGTATTTAGTCTCGTTAAGATAATTCTATTGCTAATCTAGATATAATATTTAAATATATCAAACTAAGATAAATGTTTTGGGATAATTGATAAAATTATTTATTTTATATAAATAAACTGAACTATAAGAATTATTGTAGCAAATACTAATATTTTACTAAATATTTTTCTTGTATTTATACCAAACTTTTAGCCTTGCCTATCGTAATCAATATGCCGCAAATAACTTAAAGTTGAAGCCTGATCTAAATCAGTTAAGGTACATATAACCTCAGTATAATTTTTACTTTAAGCCAAGTAAATAGACAATATTTGTTTGTATTATTGACATTAATAATAATAATATTAATTTAAATGTTTTGCAGCTATGGAAGGTCTGAAGGCTTTGAAGACGATAAACCTGAGTTGACTGTCCTTATGCGCAATTTAAGGTGCAAAGCTTATTTCTTTTTATTTTCATAAAGTGTTATTTAGTGTATAAATAAAGATAGATATTAATAATACAGATACTTCAAGGGAAGTAAATACATCCGTCTTTATAAAAAATAATTTCCACTTCAGCAATTAATTATTGAAAGCGTATTCTCGAAATTAAAAATGTTCCCCCATAAGATTTAACTAATTTGGTATGCAGATTTATAGAGGCAAAAAAAAAATATATTTTAAAGATGAATTTCTTTGATAGAAAAAAAAAACTTTTACTTTATATTGAAATGAAGTTGATATACCATAATAATAGAGAGTGAGATTTTATTTATTTATTTAAAACAATTCGTTACAATATAAATATTATACTGAGAAGAAAACACAGCAGATTGTTTCTTAAAAAGAGAGTATTTTCTAAACAAGTAATGTGAATACAGAGATGGTTTTTTTTGCCGAACTTGGCCCCATTATCATTTCAGAACTCATAGATAATATGCTGCGTTTACCATCTGACATTTTGACCATGTAATACGAATTTGTTGTGAACTACTCCCACTGAATCGGTATTGTCTTCTAATGATTCCCACATTTCGACCGTCGCAAGTTACAATAATTCAAATGCTTCACGAATTTTTTCGGAACCTTTTTAACATGTCTTTGTAATGCAGTCTATTTAGTGTATCGAACCAAGCATCCAAGTTTCTGGTCAGAATTTGAAAATCTGTGTTTTTCAATTTTATCTACGATGCATCTCGGGCACATACAATGGTCGCTTTGAAGAACTTGTTTATTTTTCTGTATATTTTATTCATTGTGGGTGGTTTTTGGCGGCGATACTTAGTAATCATCTTTAAGATCTGTGCGCAGGATATGCATTCATACCCGCACATATATTGTACATCAATTCACAACGAAATATCTAGCGAATTCCCTTAAATTTTGACATAAAGTTGATAAAGTGTATTATTCTTCACTCACAGGTGTTCAACGTTAAGCTTTGCTATTGAATTATTCTCATAGGACCTATATAGTATGAACTATACTGTAAATAAGAGATATTTGAATATTAAATTACTATAAACTATAAAATTACTATAAATTTAAAATATTTTTAAACCTCTCTTTTCTTTTTTCCGGTATTAGTTTTCGTGAAACTATCGATGCTCAAGATGAACTTGATTTGAGACCGTCTACAAGCAAGGGCAGGTACAAAAAAATCTGATAATTTTTTATTTCGTTTATAAAGTATTAATTTTCAAATGTTCTCAAATGTTTATTTTTTTTTTTTTTGAATACATTCTATTATTTCAAATTATTGTTATTTTCAAATGTTATTCTCAAATGTTTATTTTTTTTTTTAAATACATTCTAACTTATATTTTTTGAAATCAATTATTAATTAGTTGTTTTATTTGGTGTGCTTTCTAGTCATATAAGTATTTAGATAAGTACTTAGATAGACGAATTAAAGGCTTAGTGAGTTCAGTATAATATTTGAAATAAAGATTAATCTCATAACATGGCTTTCTCCTGCTTATTTGTCTTCGTGATCACTTAGCATTGTTAGCCAAGCAGAAAACTGATTTAGGTTAAAAATGTTTAGGTCACTATTACAATTAAGCTACAAATCAACTCATATTAAGGATCTGAGTTTCCACCAATTGGCACAAACTTCAACTAAATTTAATCTCTAGAAAATTGTGTAAAGCGAATAAATGTCTCCATTAAAAACTGCAGATAACAGCCAAATAACAACATTAAGACTTTTTGGAAAACTCAAATTATTTGAAAAGAAACAACACTAATTTCAACTTTGACGAATATACAGAATTAATTGTGCAACGAACAGCTAAAGTATAGACCATCGGGCACAATAGACCCGATGGTCGCAGTGCCACATCCCCTAACAATAATCATTGCTACCGTATGGTTTACTAAATGCGTTAAGCAAATTTTACTAATTCACTTCTCCGCTAGTTTTAAGATTTTCTGTTGCCAAAATATCTAATCCAATGTAGAGACAGTGCCAAAGGGAAAAAGGAAAACGTAAATAGTTTGAGTGTCATAGAAATATATTCGGAACATCTGAAAGATATGGATATATCTGAAATATCATGCAAACAATTGTTGTAGTCCGTCAAATTAACAAAATAGATGAGATCAAAGATTTGCAGGCGTCTACATGTAAGTTTATCCCTCTTAAAAAAATTAAATTTTAAACAATCTAATTGAGATATTCCGTAAAGATATCAGCTCAATAATGCTTTGATTGGCTGATCACTGTTACTTCGAAAATCATGATAACATAAGCCACTGAAAATATCTCATGATGACTTCAGCCGCAGCCGATAAGAGAGGTAAAGAAAATGCTTCATATCTTTTTCGGTGTTGTTTATTTCGCATAGAATGTCATCTATAAATCTTATTATATATAGTGGGCTTATTCCTCACTGTCGTTTAGAAAACAGTGACATAAGATTGAACATTTCCTTCAATGAATATTGCCGTATTTGTGAGGAAGGCAAAAGAAGTGCTTCACATTTGTCATTGCTTTAACATTGGCAATATATTCCCAGCGTGTATTAAAAGAAGCGAGTCGAGCGATTTTATTAGTAACTTAATGAAAAATAATACGTTTAATAATGTTACGAATTTCGTTTCATAACGGTATTACTTTCAAATCACTGTTCGCTAGATGATTGAATATTTTCTTCAATAACTTCATATGTTACAAAATATTATTTCCTTCTTGTATTTACAATGTATTTATCTCCAGTACATTGGGTAAAGTTACAGCTTTTAGTAAAAGCATATGGCGGAGACGAAGTTTTTCCATACTTATCTGTCAAGAGCATTCTGTCGAATTTCGTTCCATGAACCAAATTGCCGATGTTCAGTGGTGATAGAGCGCAACTAGGTGACTTGTGGGCGGCTAGGCCTACGTGAACCTTGAGAATTCCACTCAAAAGCCATTTTTACAATGGCGGTGTTGTCTCTTCGGAATGCATGCCCAATCCAATGCCACTTTCAGTTTTTAACCGCGAGTTCTACTGGCACTATTTCGGATATGGTGAGAAGTTCGGTGTTTGAGAATAAACGTGGCCAGAAAATTTGAGATGTACGATGGAGACATTTATTGACAAATACTTGCAGCTTGTGTCAGGTGCGTTTTGTGACTTTTCATATTTCAGATTAATATAGAAGGATTGATTTGATGCTAGTGGTAAAGATTTTCAACTTTCTTCATTTTGTGAAATGCATGCCAGGCCTTACCAATGCGAGCTAAAACATACTCGTCGATCCATCCTTCATTTGTAACTATGCTGCCGAGGTAGCAAAATCTATCAACGTCGTTGATTGTTCTTTTAATGTTACACATTACTATAATGATTACGTTTACCAAGAAGAAGAGTACAACGCTGACCATTAGTTGTTTTAGTTTCCCGACAGAGAGTTTCGAATGTTATATATTCAAATGGCTATAATAAGAGAATTATTTGTTTGTTAAAAATTTTAGAGTCCGAATCACATACTTAGATTGAAAAATGATCATATTCAATATAGAGCTTAGAAAAAGTGCTTGGAATGCCAGTACATGTAACAAAAGAAGCTTAATTTTGTTGGGCAAAGAAACTCAACTGAAACCTATATAAGGCAAAAACTTCTCGAATAGAAAATATTATGGAAACAACACAGAAACCAGATAAAATTAACTCTATAAATGATTTGTAATCTGTGCTCTAACAAAAAAGATTTACCGGAGAAATGATTAAGAATTTTTACCTAAATATTTGCACTCAAAACATAAACAACACCGTGGTTATGATGAGAAGATAGTTACTTATTTTATTTTATGCCGTATTTTCATCTGGAACGTAGGCTAGTTACAAAGAAGCTTCAGTTATTTCAATTTAAAGCTAAGTATCTAAGTTCGTTAAGTTATCGGTTTCATTCAAGATGGCCCTTCGCCATGTGGTTCGTGAACGTCCTCGCCTTCGGTAGCCGATTGGATTCCACTTCAAAATTGCGAGGCAGTTATATTTACGCCTTACTATTTGGGTGTTAATGCCTTCTTGTGTTGTTAGTTGAAGTAGGTTTTCATTTGAAATTACGCGAGGCCATCAGATCTTAAGTATATTGCGCAGGCATCTATTAGTAAATACTTGCACCATTTGTTTAATTTCAGCACTGACTAGCCATGTTTTAGAAGAGCCATAGAGTAGTATAGACTTAACACATGCGTTGTACACGTTGAGTGTTATCGTAGTAGACAGTTTATTTGATACAAATAAGTTTGACAGATAAGTTTGAAGAAATAATTATTATGGTCTTGTGTATGTTTCTAATATTCATATAAGTAATTTGAAAACTGTTTTCTATGATAATCAGAAATCTTTTAAATCTCAACTTGAAATCTTTTTCAGCATAAATGCTGGACGCCGTATAACGCGTCCTGCAGAGAATAAAATTCGTGTCCAACGATCCGTGAGTAACACAGGGTAAGTCAGTTTTTACCACCGTACTTTTAATTTTATACTCTATATCTCATAGCTTTCAAAGATCTCACGATTGAAAATAATTTTAACTCTTATATTAGTATTTAAAATATTGTGTAAGTAATCTGAATCTATAACGCTGAGTTGATTGCAAATAATAGTTTATTAGAGAGTTAGAACTTAATATGATAATTACTATATAATTATTTTTATTATAATTTGTGTATTTTATTATATATTACTTAATGAAGATATTAGCTATGTGTGAACATGGTACTACATTCGTATAGCAAAAACGTTTATTTTATTTTAATAAAATTTAAAATCATATAATTTTATTTTATATAATATCGGATATATGCATAATATTGAATGTCCGCAATTTTGAAAAAGTTTTACTTACATATTTACATACAAAAACAAATAACGAAATGATTACGGTGAAGAGATAGATGAGTTTCTAGAGAAAATTAGTCTAGAAAAACTAAAAATTTAATGGCTATATTTTTAAGAGAAGATTTGAGTGCCATATGCTTTCGATATTTAAATACATTATTTGTGAACTGTTTTGTATGATAATCAAAAATCCTTAAAATCTCAATTTGAAATGTTTTTCAGAATGAATGTTGCACGTCGTATTACGGGTCCTGCAGAGACTAAACGCCGTACCCAACGATCCGTGAGCACTACAGGGTAAGTCAGTTATTACCACTGTATTTTTAATTATATACTTTGAATTTTAAGTCTGTGATTATTTAAAATATTAAATTGGCTTTCGTATTCAATCTGTATCTCTAACACTGATTAAATTACAAATAATGGAATGTTGAACAGTCAGAGAGTTATTAGAGAGTACATAATAATAGTTACAACTTAACAGTCTTGAAAAGTTGCCACTAATAAGTTATTATGTATGTATATTTATTCACTATATAATCGCTATAATGTTAGGTAAAATTACTTCCTCAACTATTTTTAAAATTTTTGTTTTTTTTATAGTATCAATTTGGATAAACATTCAACTAATACTAATTTAAGCAAGATAAGGTACGTAACTTTATAAATCAGTATATAATTAATTTTTTCAAATCTTTTAAGGATATTTAAATACTAGTAAAATTTATATACTAGTGCAAAAAAATTTTTTACACTTCATGAGTAAACTTTTTATATATAAATTTCTAACGTTTACTAAATGATTTCCAATGTTATCAAGTAATTTTCATTAATCATTCATATTTCCTTAAAGATGGAATACTTATTTATATTCTTCATATATGCAAAAAAGTCCGGCAGTACTCCTAATAGGAATCGACTTTAAGGCACTGCCTTGGAAGGAAATATTAAAATTCATTGTAACATTTTTTTGGCAATCATTTTGTTTTTTACAATTCGGGTGGTCGTCGCCGATTTTTCATTAATAAAATCTATATATATCTTTTTGTGTGTTAACATAAAAATATTTAGTTATATAAATTAAAGTAAACTATAAAAAACTGTTATTAATTATAAAAATAACGCTCCATAAATACATTAATTACTTGTTTATTTGGTCATAACAAGCCGTTGTCGCACTTCGGCCTAACGTAGCGCTCTACGGTATATATGTGTCACAAAATATTTTTTTTTTCAGTTTGAATTCGAGGATTTCAGGATTGCAAGGATTTCCACTCTATCCAGGAATACCAAAGTAAGTATAAAGATTTATATATTTTGAAGTTCACTCAACTTCATATTGTCCAATATAAATAATATAATTTGTTTAAGTGAATAAGATACAGTAAAATTAAAACATTTATATCATTAATCTTCATATAGATACTCAGTATATTCTTACTTCTTCTAGCCACACTGTCTTATACTCATACTCTCTTATATCCATACTCTATTAGACTATAATATTTTGTTTATTGCTTTCTAGATATTTTTAATATTTTAGTTTAAAAATACTTGAGTGGATGATACTGTCCATCTATGACGTTTGTTTTTAAATCTGTTTTATTCATTAGATTATCCAGAGTTCTCAAAAATTACTAAGAATTTGAAATACTTAAAATGACAGGTGCCATTAACTCTATATATATTACTTATTAAAGTATGTGACCAACTCAGTCTACAATAGAAGAAATAATATACGTATGTATATACTTTTTCTGGTGAACCAACCTCTTTTGATAAGAGCATACAGCAATTCTCCGCATCCAAGTAGCATTAAGGTGGTCGCGTCTACTCGATCTTTGAGGGCTGTGTTCAAAGGTATTTTTTTCTAAAGACGATCTTTTTTAAAGCGTTAAGTCCTTCCATGTGGTTGTATGCAGTCACATTATTGCTTGAAATCATTTTTTGCAAGATTATACTGTATTGCAAATGATATAAGTACTTGCAGAGAGTTAATGCTGAATGCAATCGTAACACTCTAATTCTTCAAGCTGTAAACCAGAACTATTTTGCTACTTATAGGTGAATATATGCATCGATAGTGTATGAGGTATCGTCTATTTAGATTGTTAGTGGTTTCCTGGCGCATTATATGTGTATTGTTTTAGTTAATTTTTAGAACGTTGTCATTGACACACTTTACAATTAAAGTCTCATTAAGCTTCATTCAATTTAAGATATGTAATACACTATCATTAGAATATTCTTAATTACATCCGTACCATTTAATAAGTATTGCATCTATTACCGTTAGAAAATCCTTATTAAGTCTTCGATAACATACCGTCTATTTTTGTTAGGCATTTTGTTAGGCAATTTCGCCATACATCGCTAGTAACAAAAATCGGTTGCTTAGTTATTCTTATGAATGTATATCGGAGGTTATGTTGTTGTATAATTTGTGACGCAATCGGAACACTACATAATATATGTCAATTCTTCCCGTTTTGTACTGTTTAATTTTTTTAGATGTGTATATTCTTGCAGAGGAATTTCAGTATGTTAGCGTTTGGTGGGGTTTGGGAAAAATGCGGACCTTAAAAAAATGTAAATAAATGGTGGTACTGTTTATTCCTTGTAATTTTGTCTCATCTGTCTCTACTAGTTGTAAAGTTTTCTGGTTACTGGGTTATTTGGCTTGTGTTTTCTATATAATATTATAGGTTTTATCAGTTCATCCATATATTTATTTATTCACCTATTAATTATACAGACTAATCAGTTGACTAATAAACTAACTGACATGGAACTTTCATTCCTCCACTCTGATACGCCTAGGTAGACCCTAGGCGAAACGTGTCATTGGAAATTTTTAGAGTACAGAGACCCTTTTTCTTCGAATACCTATTAGTATTCAAATGAACAATAATGGGACCCTTCAAAGTGCCATGGTACAACCGCACGAATGACTTGGTAATAGATCCGGTCAAAAAATATATAAGGGACAGAGCCCTGAGGTTATATGCGAAAACCGATAGGCTGCATAACTTAACACTATCAAATCTCAGAGAAATCACTATCCGTACGGGGCGGTACGCAGATTTTAGATCAGTCATTGAATAATTACGAAGCTTATGGCACAGATTAGTCAGTGAGATGGGTGGGATTCTGCAGAAACTTCCCAGCTATCAATGAAAAGGCTCAACATTAGACTAATTATATTATGCCAATTATATATATTCCTTATTATATTATGCCAATTATATCTATACCAATATTTAAGTAGATTAGAGTAGTTATTATATGTGGGTAAGTTAGACCATGAACGTAGGTATTGGTAGGGCTAAGTATAGCTTTTATATTTATTTTTGTAGTTACAGTTGCTGTTTTCCAATTACTAGCCATCACGACTAACCATCCGGGTATCGCTATTTAGCGATATACTGAGGGATTGGCTTTGTAATTATTATATGGTTATGAGAGCATGACGGTGATAAATCTTCAGTTTGGTCTGAGGAGCTGGAGGTTTGGACACTAAAAATAAATATAAACTTCATCCCTTGAAATTATAGGAAATTATGAATATTATATATATATTCCCAAACTTCTCAAGAGTAAAGAAGACCACTTTATTTACACAACATTTTTCCGTATTCATTTCAATTTCAGATTAATTGTTAGAGATTTATGTATTTCTGTATTGAAAGTTTAAATTGTTTTAATTTACAAAGATCTTAATATCAAACATTCTTAACTTCTGATAAAGTATTTAAAATGTTTCTTCATATTTCTGGATGTTTCCTTTCAGTGAAAAACCACATACTTTTTCTACCACTAAACTCAAAACTTTGGAGTCATTTCCACTTAAGAAGGATCACAATTTCAAGGAAATGTCGAAATTACTAGATAAGTGCAATACGCAAATGGAAAAAATAAGGTCTTCGGAATTGGAAAGTTATGTATTAGACCAGAATCTTTTTAATTTGCAAACCGAATTTATAATGAAAAGAGAAAAATTTAATGATCATCTCGCTGAAAGCCGTAAGCAAGAACCTGAAGAATAATATTTAACATTATATATAAAAAGTTATAAAAATTTAAAGATTATTTAAAACAAAAGCGAAAAAAGCAATAAGTGTTTATTAATTTAGTATACAAATATTTTATTAAATAAAATCAAATAAAAATTCACAGTTCCTTAAAAATCTAATTTTATTTTAAGAAAAAATAAAGAAGAGTATTTTTCATGTGCTCTTAACTTCGAACAGATATCGTTACACCGAATAAAGTTCGGTGCGCCGATCAATTGTTCCCAAATTGGTCACCTTATTCAGGTATATAATCCCACCTCCTTTTTAAGGAGTATTTATATCGCGCCTGAGCAATGAGAGCACACAGATTTATATGTATATGGTTATCTGTGGAATTTTAATTTTGTGTGGGCTTTGTGGTTTGTTGTTACGAAGTTAAAATAAACAATGTTAACTTGCCGGTTAGGCGGTTGCAAGGAATATGTTCAAGTTTTTGAATAAGAGACACGTGAAAGTAATTAAGCCTACCCCAATATATGAGAATAGTAGAAAATAGCCGAAAGCCGTGTTAAGATTAATCCTAGTGAAGTCTTCTGCACGTCTTGAAATCAAATTTCAAATTTGCCGAACGGGATTAACGCATTCAGGGGTTTAACATTTTTATGTTAAAGCTCTGTTATACGTTAACATTTATGTTCGCCGGTAACAGTTTCGGACATTCTATTGGTGGTGCTTAAAGTGTCTTCGTAGATGCTGTTAGATAATGGAGTTGAAAGCACTACATGCAAACGTCGCAAATGGAATTTTCCTACAAAAAACTAATTTATTTTAAAATTAACCGAAATTGTAAACAAGGAAGCAGTTTACAGCGAAAATAAATTCAATTTAACATGTGGACATCAAACTCAAAGGTTATGAAAATAAGTTAAGTTTGCATGAAAATTTTTTAGATAAATTATAAAACATTACTGTTAAATAAACAAAAAAAAAGAAATTAATAATATATGTAATTATATGAAGAATAAAGTTTTCATGTATCATCATAACATTTGGCTGAGCAATCCATATTTGAATTTCGCCTATATCAAGATTTGCCGCCGCTTATACCTGTTGTTCGCAATTTTTGTTCTAGTTCTCAAGTGCCTGCTGCATCATTGGCTACACCATCAATTCATCTAAGCTGTAGTGTTCTTATGATTTGTAGTACATATTCAGTAGTTGCTCTAATTATGTAGCCGGCAAAACTTAATCTTCTGACTTGTATCTTAGTTACAATGGCAGCTTTTTTGCATACGTTTTTTAATTCGTCTTTACTCCGTTTGCATTCATTGGAACGTATTTTCTTCATTAGTATACTTAATTTATAGTAGTTATAACTTGGAGTTGAATTAAGATGTAGTTGAATATAGGTTTTATTGATATGTGCACTTAGTTCAGGTTTATACTGTTTGACGTTAGCTATCTGTTCCACCTATTGTTGCACTTCGCACGCAAACTTATATAGTAGGATTCACATACATTCGCATATTGCTATAACAAACACAGCGAATTTCTGACTGTAACGATGTTCTTTTGAGGATAACCATACCTTCAGATTTTTTATTTATTTTGATCTGACTATAGCGAACTATTTTGTAGCGAGTTAATTCCGTACAATTGCTTTGGATATTAAAACATGTATATATATATATTAGTTCCTGTAGATCTTATGAGGTGCAAAGAGCCACAATTAGATTCTTCCATTTCGATCTGTTGGGTGCACTTCACTTCATTTCAACTATTAGGTTTTTCTAGTCCTAGTAGCTTCCTTGCGGATTTAGACTATGACCATGCGGGAAATAACGTCTTGGGGCCTCCGTAGTGTGCAGTCTAACCAGCTTGACTTGCGCATTCTATAAAACATATGTTAGTAATATGAATTTTTTTAAGGTTATGGACATATGTTTATATAAATAAACTCTTCTTCAATCTGTTTACAGCAGACATTTGTCTCCCATAGGGCCCGCCAAGTAATTCTGTTTCGCCGACGACTGCCTTGTCTTCATGCGGTCGTCAAACCTCCGCTGTATCGCTTACGAACGGAATGCCTACCTTAGTACCCCCTTCTCCTTACACCAGGTGAGATATAAAGCTCAACTTCAATAAGAGCTAATAAGTATTCCTATCCCAAAAGCAAGACCGCACTAAAGACTTTAATGCCTTCCTGATAACTATAGAGCTCGGCAATATCTTCATTCAGTTTATGGATAAGCTACAACCTCTTATAACTTTCCGGTACAACTTTATCCTCCATGTTCACTACACTATCCGCAATACTTCGTTCAGGCTTCGTTACGACACAACTAAAGTCACTCGAATCGATGAATTACTCCCGACACTCGACCGACAATGCATCACCCGGTTGCACAACCTTGCATTCGATGTTTCTACCCCCAGTACCTTCCCTGCAGATCTCATCCAAGCGCTACAGTCTACAACTGTGACCCTGGTCACAGAATTTATCATTAACGCACCACCTTAGCTTCCGCAGAAACCCCACACCCTCTACATACTCCTCGTCTACCTGTGCCATGCCCATGTTTGCTGGCTTAGATAAACTTATACCTCTTGCTCATAACTATCTCCCAGATTACTAGAATAAAGTTTCTACATTGTTGAAACTCCTCTATTCATTACTATGAGTTGTGGCTTTAAATGCTTTCCACCTACTGTGACAAAAAAAAAGTTCTGAATGAATGCCTGAATATATTGAATAATATGCAATCATCTTAGATACACAAAGAAATCATCTTTAATAGATTTTGCGAATTCTAATTGAAACTTATAAAACGAAAGGTGTGTGTTTTGTTCAATATTCCATAATTTCAAAATAGAGTAAATCGCAGTTATCAAGTAAGCTTTGTTCTACATTTTTCACCTAAAACTAAGCAACAGTCGATGGTATAGATCCCAGAAGGTACTTATCAAATTATTGAAAACACACAACAAAAGTGATTGTACTCATTCAGCACCATATTCTCCAAATCTATTGCAGCGTAATTTCTAGTTGTTTTCTAAAAAAAAAAAACCAAAATGTTGAGAGCATCAGTCCTCGGAAACTAATAGAAGATAATTTGGTTTAACAATCTATAATCAAAAAAAAAATGTAAGAAGTCACATTCAAAGTGATTTTTCGTTGTAATTTCGTCGAATCATATTTATCTGGTCACCTTGAAATTCGAGACGATTCTAAGCTACTCTTTTCCTTGTGTACTTTCATTTTAACCTTTTAAAATTGTTATGTCCCATATATGGGACATAATGTGCAATAATTACTTTTTACAATATACAGTATAACTTCATCTTCGAAAAGTATTTTCAATTATTGACTAATAATTTAATATATGTTATAGAATTTTATGAATATATTATTAATTATATGAACGTGAAATATTTCATAAAAAAGTTTTTCTTACTGTGCACTGTTTTTAAAGATGGTGCAATGGGGAGGAAAGAGATAGTTGGAGTAAATATTTGCGGCCGTAAGGAATATGTGGACAGAAATTTATTATGAAATGTAATTTATAATGAAATTATGAAATATAAATAAAATTATAATATATTATAATATAATATATTATAATTTATATATATTATATTATAATATAATATATAAAATTATAATATAATATAAATAAAATTATTGGCTAATTCTCATACATTATATATTATATATATGTAAGAAAATAAGAAAATAATAAAATCATTTAAAATTTAAAAACTTATAATAAAATATAGTAAAGTATATAATAGAAGTCCTTTGAATTAATGAATGTTTATATATATGATGATATACATATAAATATATATAAAAATATATATAAGAACTATATATATATACTAATATATATATATTTATCAGTCAAAATCTCTGGAGAGGACGATATTAGTTTTTATTCGTAAGTTTTTAGCTTACTATAAGCTATAAAATGTAATGTGAATCGATATAAATATAGGAGAATAAAGAACTTACAAAAAAATTAATAAATTATTGTTGTTTTTTTTGGATTTTTAAATTGCTAATCTTCACAGAAAATTTTTCTTCTTAAACTCATATATACTTAAGTGTCGGCGATTTCACATCATATTAATACTAACGGACCTATTCTGTGCACTTGACAGATTTGTCAAATTCTTTAATAAAATTTTTGATTTTTATAAAGTAGAAATCTTTTTGATATTCTGGACACATCTTGACAAATTTCAAAGCTCAAGTACCTAGTGCTTCTTACCACACTATGGTGTAAAGTGTTTTGTATAGATAACTGTTCGTAATTGTTCGTAACTGTTCGTAACTGTTCGTAAGAAATGCTTGTAAAGAGCACATATATTAAGTTGCCAAAAGCATTTTTCATGCATTCAAATAACAATAAAAAATATGCTTGTAAAGAGCGTATATTTTAGTTAAGAATATTTGCTATGCATGCAAATAATAAAAAATGCTTAAAAAGAGCATATTTTTATAGTTGTCAACAGCATTTGAGGTATTGACAACTAACAAGGAAAAGAGCTTTTTATTTATGTCACAGAACACCAAAACCTTTACAGCAGTCAATTTTAACAAGTGTCAATGTTTGACAAGTTTATAAAGTGCACAGAATAGATCCGTAAGTGTGCTTTAAACTAAATGGAAGGTATTTTAAATAAGAATAACAAAAAGTTTTTGTGATAATATTGTTTTATTTTATTCAAAAAATCTCCTTTTGACGAATACAGCAGTTTTAATGGGTTACTACCACGTCAATTTTGTGTTTAACTTAGTCGGACGGGATGAGGATCAATATTTTGAAAGAAATCATGTCAATGGCTTTCGCGTCAACAAAATGTTTTGTTTTTATTCATAAATTTATTTTTCAGATAAGATAAAAATCCTATAGAGATAAGACAAATGAATATGGAGACTGATTGCTCTTACCCACACCTGAAATGATCTAAGTACAAATACGCAAGAAGTATCAAAACGATTGGCGAAGATAAAGTTGCAATATGTTCAAAACTTCTGGAAGAATGTTATTAATTTAAGTTTTTGAGAAACTTGATTTCAATTTCATGAA